GTCCCCCGATCGATCGATCGATCGGTCGATTCAGATTTTTCTCTGACAAGCTACTGCACTACAGGCCCGGAGATCCCAGCCACCCGCGAGAGACCAACTATCGCGATGGAAATCGAACCGTCGTAAATCCCTTTTTTACGGTCGGGATCGATATCTTGATCAACGACAGAGCATCCAGCTCCGCCGCTCACCCCACGCTGGATTGATCCGAGCTCGAAGGCGCAACGAATTTTACGGGAATCCGACGTTTTATTCCATAACAGCGCGGCGTTCCGCGGCGAGATCGATGGGACTGCTGCTCGCCGATCATGACGATAATTATCCCCTATAACCCTCGGATACCCCGCGCTTAACCCTCGTTACTCCACTCGAACGGGGATAATTGAACTCGGAGATTCTCGATACCCCGCTTATTGAGACTTTAAGCTACCTGCTCCGTGGCCGAACAGGTAACTCCGATCACGTTATTAAGTCATTTTACGAGTACCACAGTTTCCCTCGACGACCACCTCGGAGCGAGGTAATAAAATCCGCGGAATGCATAGCCTCGACAGAGATACATGTAAATGGGGCGCGCGCGCGATGAAATGGATCGTTCGCGAATAACAACGATGGAAAAGGAAGAAGACGCGCGGATCAATCGGTCGATACGATGAGATGCTCTATCGAAATTCCACGGCGCGCGTTATTCTTTCGCGCGGCAAGCTGCATCCGCATTTATTCCGCAATAATCCCATTCACGGGCAGCGTACAATTCCGCGTCTTTACCGCGCCTCATTAATTACTCCGGTTTACATTTATCATTCGTCGACGAGCGTATATATTGCGGGGAATTTATACGCGCGAAAAGCCGCCGGAATTTCGGGGATATTTTAGATCCTGTTTCCGGTTTGTTCGTAATAAGCCGCGTGCCGCGCGAATAATTCTCCTCCGGGCTACGCGTCAGATCGATGCCGCCGAGAGTCGGCTTTAGCTTACCAACACCGAAATCAGGCAATGGTAATGTTAAGATGAAATTAACCGACGAACAGTGCGAAACGAGTACACGATTATTGCACCTTTCCGCGTGAAGCATCCCGTTCACCGAGAAATGGTGCTGATTTCTGGGAAACCATTTTTTCAATCCAACGCACCGGGTTAAATGTATTTGAACAGAAAACGAACGTTCGGTTTTTCAAGAGTATTTAACGGTAGAAATATTTCGGTAGCAATCGTAACGATAACAATGTCGCGTGTTTTATCTATACTGAAAACAGTAACAACGGGAATGAATGTTTGTAAACGAAAACCGGAGCCAATGGTACGTAAAACCGAAAGCAAATTGAGGTACGCTACTGGCGCACGGTGGATAGGAGAAGCGAGAAACAATAAATTAATCGATCGGTCGATGAGGTAAATAGAAATACTGAAAAGAATTCATGCGCAAGAGCGAGGACCGTAAAGTTGCAGCAATAAAAATAGCGAACGGCCGTTAAATGAAACTCGTTATCGATTTCCGCCGATTCGTCTCCGGAATTAGCGACCGTAAAAACCGCTCGTAAACAACCGAAGCACCGAAGTCACCGAGCGAATCGTTCCTCGTCAAAGACACCGATCGATCGCGCCGGCCGTTCACTATTGTCGACGGTGATCTAACGTCTAATAGAATAATTGTGGTTAACCTCTGCCCGAGAAGAACGGCGGGGAAAGGACGTCGAGAATGCAGCCACGTTTCAGCTGCCGGTAATATGTCTTCATGTAAGAACGGCCTGACAATTAACGTCGCTGCGATCCGATCTGCATACCGAGATCGGATATCGTCTTCAATGGAACGGACGCTACCGTTCCAGATTTTTCTGACGGGCAGACGGTTCGCCGTTTACAACGTCGAGACCTTTGACGAGCAACCTTTCATTCGCGGTGTAACGAAATTGAAGACATAATATTCTATGCGGAACCAGATATTAAATTCTTAAACATATTCATAACAAAATGATAATTTATACAGAGGGCTATGACGAACGGTTGAACGTCCTAAAAGAAATCGATGTTCTTCAACTAAATTACCCGCAGATGAATAATTGAAATCTACTATTTCAACCGAATATTAGTTGCACACATACTTCCACGAAGCAGAAAATGAAGAAACCAGAAAACAGACGAACCAGGAAAAAACTAAACGATGCCCAGTGATCGAGCTTCCAGTTTATTCGCGGAACTCCGCGCTGAACGAAGAGACGATCGAATATCGGGTAGCGGAAGCCAGCGACAATGACTTGTTCGCCCAAACAGTCGGGCCACCGAAACAAACTGCGATCTATCAACGCGTGAGGGCCGTTTACGACATCGCGAACGACAGAACACGTTATAATTCCCTGTCGCGCAACGCTTTTCAAACTCCTCCAACACCTCTCCGTCCTTCGACCTCGTATCTACGATCGAGATTTATCGGTGACCGGACGCCGCGTTGACAAATTGCGCGTAAGGACATTCTCTTGGATCGCGTGCGCACGCGCGCGTGCGAGCTGTAGGCCGAAGGGGGAAAAAAAGGCGAGCTCGCGGGTGAAAACCGATGGCAACCCTGAAACAGGCGCGTTAATCGAATCCGCGGCGGTCCCTTTCTAAACGGTTCTCACTCGGGCACGTGTGCAGACCCATTAAATCAATCGGAAATTATTACACTAGTTTTACGGTGCATAACTGTCGTTCGTTCGCCCTCGCGTTGTCGCCCGGCACGACACGATCGACAGGCCGCTTTTCATATTGTGCTCGTTGCGCCATCGTTCCGCATCACTTTTGACCTCGACGCCGCTGATATCGTGGGGATAGTCGTTCAGATCGCTCCCGCGATCGTGTCGCCATTTTCTCGCGGGTTTCAGCCATTTTCTCCCGTTTCCGCGTGTAACTCGAACGGCCCGCGAGGAAAACACCTTCGGCATTCACGTAGCGGTCCCTTCAGTGTCCGGCTGACCGAATTTTTAATTCATTCGCGTGCCATAATGGCTGGAACAGGACTGTAATGAGGCGGTAGGAATAAATAAAAGATACGTGGAAATGCCGGAGTCACGGAGAAGAGGAAGGTGTAGCTTTCAATGCAACGCCGCTTGGGTTAGGTCGAAGGAAAGTTGGAAAGGAACGTTGAAAAAAAATCCAACACCGCTATGAATACTGTTGCCTGGCTCGCACATTCTATTCAACGGCGAGTTCCCCTCGTAACGAGGTCTATGAGTCGGAATAGGGGAAAAAAACAAATTACAGTGTCCCGGCTGTCTGTGCGGAACACGAGAATTAATGAGAGATTGTGGCTGGCGGTAACGGTAATCATTATTCGACATTTCACGCGAAAATGTTAATGTCGTTAGTGCCGACGCTGACTTACAACAATACGGTGCGCAGCTTGCAATCCCGCAACGATCACGCCGCGGGAATCTCAACGCGAAGGACGATCGTTCGCGGTGGAACTCTCGGTCGTTCGATTTTGTGTACTTGAACAGGAAAAAAAAAGCGGAGATCACTTGCCTCGTAACGGAAACCGACGATGCTTCATCCGATCTTTCTGCAGACGCGTCGAGACAGCTGTCCGAATGAAGCGGTAGCAAAGCGGTCCCGGCAATTATTTATTTGAGATATCATTCCGAGCAGCATCATATGTCCGCAATCAATCACACCCTTCCCCGAGGTCGAATGCACCTCCTTCGGCCGGCGTTTACGGGTCTGCCCACTTACGCGAGCTACAATAAACGTTATCTAGAGTGGCCCGAGCGATATTGCCGCCGGTAAACAGTCAATAAATATATAACACTGTTTTATCTGCGCGCTGTCTCTTCGCCGGAACGTTCGACCGAGATTTATCGCGTGTTCGAAATGAATTTCAAGGGAAACGAACGCCCCGCCGCAAGACGAATAGCTCGCTGGCCCTGCGTCCGCACGCGCGATTTCATATTCAATTTCGATCACACCGAGGGAACAGGTTTAACGCCGCCGCACCGAAGAACGCCGGCTTTCAGCGGCGAATAATATTTCCATACGTTAACCTGTTTCGTTTTAAACGATCGGGGTGAAAGTTGACAGGGCTGAATTTTGGATTACCCGAATGTTTTCACTGCAAGCAAAGCCGCTTCTCGGGAGCCGAAAAAATGTCCTCGATCCGCTTACGGTTAACACTGGGAATTACCGAGCAGTCGAATCGATTAGTCCGTTGCTTTCAAACCATGAAATCTCAATACATTCATTGAGATTACGATCGAGTTTCATTGGCACGTTATCGTTTCAAAAATTTCCCAGAAAATCCGCTGTATTTTTTCGATCATTATAAAAGAAGTCAGCGGTCGGTCGTCTTAGTAGTCTTAACGTCAACGTTTCTCTCGTATAAACCGCTGCTTTACGTTACCGGTGGGAAACAGCAGCGAACAGAAACTCACTGGAATCGTTCTCGCTTCAGGTATATACACTTCAAAGGAACACGTTCACGAGCACGAGATCGTGATACCACGGAAAGTGACCCACAGGGGGGAGCTTATCTCCCACAACGTGACCCACCACCACCACGAGGATGGACCAGTGGTTCACTATCGACTGTCAGTCGCCGGTAACGAGTACCATATCGAGCTGATCGCCGTGGACAACTTCATTGGGCCGGGGATGGTGGTCGAAAGACGGAAACGTGACGTGCACGTGCGCGCCCGACCGAAAAATCGCTCCAGCAAGTGCCATTATCGAGGCTTCATTCATGGCCAGATCAACTCCCAAGTCGCCCTGTCCGCCTGCGACGGTCTGGTGAGTTTTATTTTCTCTCTGCAATCGTTCTTCGCCGTTTCATACAGAAGATCCGTCGACGGTGGATCATCGCGATCGCGAACTCTATACGCAACGCCTTCGCGACACGCGAGTAGAAAGGGTCAACGGGAGTGGCATTCGTTTCCCCGGTGTCCGATGTATCGTACGGATGCTCTACTTAAATTTTCTCCGCGACCGGAAAGATCACCTCGCGCCGTACTCCGCTGGTAATCTGAACACGAACGAAACAATTTACTCCGGCAGGTCGTTGATTATTTGAGAAACGCTGTATTATGTATCGTTTCGCCGGCTGCCTCGAACGTACGGATACAAAGAGAAGATTAAAACGATATTAAACGCTTCAATTTTCAAGGATCGCTTGAGTCCCGGCGTTAATATCAATTAACTATTTCCAGCGAAGGCAACTTTTCAATCCCCGGCGCAATATTATTCAATTTAAGAGACTCGGGGGGGCGCAGCTATCTATCTTGCCTGGGCAAAATAACTTTCGATCTCCCGTTCCGTCTTTCTTGCGCTTTATCTACGTTCGTTCGCGGCGTTACGTGCCAGATAACGTATGCTAAAGTTAGTACGTGGCGGGGAGGCGAATTTCAAAGAAAACACACGCGATCGTTAAAACGAATAGCGCACGATACATCGTGTTTATAAGGTTGCCGCAGATAACGTGAAATTATAAATGATTACTAATTTGTACCTTCTCGAAGGAAGTTTATTCCCATGAAATTTATAATGCGCATCAGACCGGCGAGTATGCGTATCTCGCTCGCTCCGCACCGCGACTTTCCCGTGCGTGGTCTGACCAGAACGTTCTCGTTTCACTAATCCCTAATCCCTCAACCGTTGACGTTGCTCGTGTTCGTGGACGCTTTCCATCGCCGCATTATCGTTACTAATTATCAACTTTCCATGAAAATTCCAACTGAAAAATCCTCGATCTCTGTACTCATCTAACTTCATAATAAAAACCCACACGACATTCCGCGTGCGCTCGGCTCGCAGCGGCAATCTTCGACTTTCGTCTCCGGCGAGAGCCGTTCTCCCTTACAATATCCTCTCCTCGTATAACGGGGTCGAGAAAGTAAACACGCCTGTTCGTTTCCGAAACGTAACGAATTCAAACGTCTCCGGCGTATATTTAACACCGTAGCAATCTTCTCGCCGTCGTGTTTCTTTCTCCCGGCAGTCGAGGGGCGCCTATAAAGCAACCCCAATTGGTGGCAGTTGCAGTTCCACTTAAAACGGCACGGATCCCGCGGATTCGGCTCCGCGAAATTACATTTCTAAGTGAGGCGGTGGAGGTGGGGGCGGGCGCGCGGAATAGTTTCCCCGTGTTGCAAAACCGAAAGGCGAAATTTACGAATATTAACGCATATCCCGTACACGCGGCGGCTGCTGCGGTAACGCGGCTGGAACTTCGGGGAAAGTTCGACCCGCCGCGGCGCGGCGGGGGCAGGAGGGGGCGAGCGTGAAATCGCGGTAACGCCGTTAAAGAAAGAGGAAAGATGAAAGAGGGAAGAGTGCGGAGGCGGCGATGGCTAGCGGAGCGAGGAACGCGGGAAAAAGGAGCCGAAGAACAATAGGTGAAGCAGAAGAAGTAGGCGAACGAGGAGAGGACGAGGAGAAGAAAGAGGAGCGAGCGGATATGGAAGAGGGAGGAGCCACGGCGCATGCATCGGCGCAAATTGCTCGCAGCTTCTAGATAATGATTTAATTTGCCACGGCTTGGCAGATTTATGACGGCGCACCTAGACCACGTCCACCTGTAAACGCACACGCCTAGAGGCGACTCGTCTGCGTTCGCGGCACCCGGGCGAATTCGTGCCAGTGTCTTTTTGCGAGCCTCCGTTTGCAATACTGACTCCCATTGTTCCAGGGACTCCGCGCGCTTCCTTGTTGTCCTGCAACACGCCGCCTCGGGACGAGTGAGCGCGGAACAGATCGTCGGACTTATCAACCGCGACGATCGCAGCAACGAAGCGGCGGTCTGTTAACCCTCCTGGTAGACAAATCGTATTGCAACGAATACGTGTCGCTTTCTAATGAAATAGGAAAGACGTTTTTCGAAGGTGATGCAATGGGAAATTGATGCATTACACGAAGCTTGGTATCGAGTATTTGATTAGATAATCTTGCTCGAGGGTTACCATTATCATCGAGTGTTTTTACGAAACAGAAGGATACGCGATGGAAGCGTACTATTGTGTACGGATTTCTTATTCGTGTTCGTTTCGACGGCAACGCGTGACTAAAGCTTGCCAACGAGAGAACACAGGCAAGCCGAGAAAATACCCGTTTACATAAAGGACATGGTCTCACGCAATACCATGTAATTGCTCAATTTTCCCGCGGCGGCGTACACCGCCTACCACGTTCGGCGCTGGCAACGTATCGCGGGAATCCGAAATTTTCTTTACCCGACAAGCCCGAAGACAAGCCGATAAGATTAAACGCTTTATCGATAAGACGGTGCAGTCGTGAAAGTTTAAAACACCCTCTGGAGATGTAGAGAGCGCGAGGAGCTCCCTTCGAGCGGTCGTCTATCGCGGAATCGGTGCGAAATTTCTCACCTCTTTCTCGCCCCGTGAATTTTCGATCGCAAGATCATATCTCTCGCAGGAGTCGCGTGAATCGCGATAGCGTCTCGCTAAGCTGGCTCCGGGACGTAGGGGGAATAGTAATTCGCGGCGCGCGGCAGGTGCTGCACGCGAAAAATTATCATAGATCCTTGCCGAAGGAACAGTAGCGGCATACTTTGTTGCTAATTTCTCCTTGAAATCGCCGGTGGCCACGTGCAAGCATCCGATACGCGTAACAGTTCCCCACGGTATCACGTATTTCTTGTACCTGTGATATTCCGTTTTATTGCGCCGTAAACCCGTCGGAACAGAGACGCCAAGAGTGCGCGCGCGCGGACGTTTCACCAGGGGGAAACTGCAGTAAAAGTTAACATCGCGAGTCCCGGTCGTATTTGCGGCTCAACCGAACTCTAAATTCCACCTAATCGTAAAGCGCGCCAATTGAAATCTCGACAAATTTAAGCACCTGTCTCGGCCCCGCGTCAACGGGGCACGCCCGGCAAAATTCGGACCGTTCCGTTTTTATTCGCGCCCGGTTTGATCGATCTGCCATTCTTCCCCGTTAATTTACGATCCCCGGACATTGTAAAATATTTATCGGGAAGCACAATGGATCGAATGAAAATGTAAATTTCCCGTGGATGCGTATTTCATCGTATTTCAACGTGGATACATCGAATTTCGAGCAGGCGGAATTATTGTTGCTGTTGCAATTGATATCGGCCATTAATAAATTCAATTTCGACCTCGGCGCAATTGAATTTTTAGATTTCGCAACGGCGATGCTTTACGCACCGGCGTTATACCTTTTTTATAATCGACGGAGGACGCGTCGATGCGCGCGTTTCTCGCGGGATTAAAACGTGTAACGATCGTAGACGCGTCGTGAAATTTATCCCCTTGGAACCGGCGAGGTCGGTCGACTCGCTTGAAAACGCCGCGAATCTCGCGCGAATCGAGACATCACGAAGAACCCGCGGAGCGAATGGCGCTCGCAATGGACAGTAAACCGTGGACGTGTGTGGACCGTGAGAAATTTCAGCAACAGCTGCAGCCCGTGGTGTTATGATAATGCGACGCCGCGGGAGGCATTAATTCGGGCCTGCGTTTAACGACTGATAATAAGCAGCGTGACCGTCAAATCCGTTTGTGCGCCGTCGTATTCCCTGGACAAGAGGTCTCCTTCGGAATATAATTTTCCGGCGAATCGATTAGCGCTGCCTCGATCCCCGTGATCGGCCGCGATCCGTACGGCCGCGCAGCCGCGGCCGGCAGATCCGCGTGTATTTACGCGGCATGTAAATGAAGTAATCGTTTCGGGTCGCATGCAGGCATCTGTGCGCATGCAAGTGTAATTGGCGTCGATACGTAATGTTCAGTAATTTCCGGCTTCCCATGGTAATGGCATTATCTGCCGGGTTAATTCACCGGCGTGCCCCCGATTCCGACCGCTTAACGTTAGTTAGAATTGAATTTGACACCCCCGGACCACCCTCTCGCCGGGATCCACGGCAAGATGCTATACCGTGAATCCTTTGTCACCTCGCGTGGCCCGCGGGACACACCAAAAGCTGACATTACGTTTATTGGACGGTCGGGGCAACTTCGAGGCTGCCGGAGGAGTAGTCAATTACGATAATGTCTCCATACCGGCATCCAATCGGACCAACCTGGCCCCCGGTAACCTCTATCGCCCGATCGCCTCGCTTTTCGAGCACGACGGATCGACCTGAGATTACCGAGTGGCGCGTAGTGCCGGTAAAATACGACGACGTGTCTCGGAAATCGTCGGACGCGCGTGGAGTTCGATGGTGTACAAGTTCCGATCGTAATTCGATCGGAACGTCCGCGTCCGTCGCTGGACGATAAACCGAATATTTCCTTCTAACCGCTCCGGCGATCCGCGCGGTAACAAATTTCCTTATCGAACAAACGTATCGGATGAGGACGGGTTGCTGTACCGTTATCAGCGACGATAATCCCGTGCACGCGAGCTTCGCAGGGCAGACCGATCGCTCGCGCGGAGCTACGGGCGACGATTCACGCGCCAGGAAAATAACAAACAAAGGGGGACGGAGGATGGCGGCGGCGGGCATCGTCGGCGGCCCGAAAGGTGTGGCTTCTTTATCCGTTATCTCGAATTGCGCCGAGTCCCTGACGCCGGCCTATCGTCGTCGAAGGATCAAGGATCCGGAGAGGCAGGACGTGTCTATTAAATTTCCAGGAATGATCGCGAGCCGCGATAGGCTCGGTCACGACGACTGCGAAATGCGCCTTGGGCATGCATCTACTGCCACTGACGCTTCCCTCGCAGCGAATGACGAACAACTAGACGCTCCAACCGATTCGCCGCGATCCACTGAACGACGTCGGGAAGAAGTAGGTTGAGACTAGACTGTGGAT